TTTAAACAATATTATATAGGTCAGTGACATTGTACAATAGTTGTAATAAAGAAAAGAATATAATAGCATTGTGACATTATCAAAAACCTTCAAACTATATAACATGTACATTTAAAAATTATGTGATAAATCCCGTGACCATATGAAAATATAACATTGATAAAATGTTAAAAATTTGAAAGATTCTTAATAATGTCACAGTGTTATTACATTCTCTTCTTTATTGCAAGTATCGTACAATATCACTGATCTGTATAATATTGTTAAAACCACATGATGTTTTTTGTGTAATTCATGGTGTTTCTTTCAGATCTTTAATTGTCTGTATTTAGATCCGAAGAAAAGCAGTATCCCAAAATGTCATCTACTGATAAATTATTTTGGTAGCATATAAACCCTTCATGTTTTTTTATGTCCTTTGACAGCTGAAGCAATCATTTTCTACTTAATTTATTCATTATAATTATTCATAAGCATGTTTATGACAAAGCTTAAATCTTTAAGTGTTTAAAACATATCTAAGCAGTTATATATATGCTTTTTAACCAACCAAAGAAAAGAATAATCATACTTCATTTAATTTATTTAGCCAATGCATACTTAAAGTAAAATCCTAGTATTTTTGGATATTTTTCAAGTAGCCTAAATTCAAAGTATAACTACATAACAATTAGAAAAAACATCAATTTATTTTGTTAAATTAAATTTTGATAATCACAGCTTTATCTATTCAGATAATAGAGTATTAAAATATTAAGAAATACCAACAATACAGTAATGTTAAATTTTTTAAGTGATGGTCTGATTACAGTTAACTTCGTAAAGTTAGCTAAGACTGTAATCAACTTTTCAGTATTTTTTTCACATGAAATAACAGACTTCCACAATAATAATAGTATTTTGGATTAAACGTTGTCACCCATATAGTCCAAATTCAACCTAAATAAGTCAAACAAGGTTAATATAATATTAATGTTTGAAAATAATTAGCTTAATCAGGTTATAATCCATTAATTTAAAGTCAAGAAACATAAAAATTCAATAAACCACTTTATTTTGTTTAATTAACTTTTGATAATTATAGCTTTATCTATTCAGATAATATAGTATTATTATGTTAACACGTAACAATGTTTAACTTCACCATGCAACTACAATAAAGTTTATTCTCATTTCTCTAATTATGTGATTGATACCAAGATAAAAACATTTAAAAAAATCAGTTCAAATTTTTTTTAAATTTAAGTTAACTAGTTAGAGCTATTTATAATGATATTTAGAAAAAAATTAACAGCATTTTTTTTTAGAAATCTTTACTTTCACAGTCATACAACTTGCATTTTCCTATAATTTGAACATCATCAATTTGAATTATACAACTTGCATTTTCTTAAAATCTGGACATCATCAATTTGAAATACCTCTTTCTCATGAGAATTCTAACTTCTAAACAATAAAAAAAAATTCATCAGAATAGAATGTTCCAAAACTACTATAATTTATCTGGTTTTCTAAGTACGCTGTAAATTGGCCCAATATTTTTTGTTATTACGCAGAGCACCAAAGCTGATTAATGCAAACCAAGTAATTCTGGTCAACTAAAGGATAATGGTGGGAAAACTGAACACAGAATTGTAGGATTTATGTGTAAAAGAACCTGCTCTTTCTATGGTTATAAGCAAATTCCATTAACAAAGTAAAGCTGACTGACAAATGATCTTGAAAGTCAGAAAGAGAGAGGAAGAGCTTTTCTGGTAGATTTAGCAAATTTATTGCTAACTCAGTAAATAAAAAAAGTAGAAGATTCAAAGTTCAGATTCTTGCTTATCACTAAGCATGGTCTGTGTTTCTAATTGGTTGGAAACTGCAGCAGCCTATCATAGAAGTTTATAAAATTCTGATGTGAAGGTATTGGAGCACAGATGTTAAAAAGTTAAAACTTAAGAAATATAAAAATTTGAATTATAAACTACATTTTCATGTCCAGTTTATTGGTATACAATAGATAATAAATTGCTTAATTAAACTGTGAATGTAACATCATAAAATGCCATGATATGCACACTTTAACTCGATTGTACAGGAAAAGTTAAAGGAACTCATCTATACTACAAGAATAACTTTCTCAAAAGTCTTAGTAGTTTTTTGCCTTTAAAAGATAGTCCAAAAATGACTCTTACTGGGTGTCAGTCATACTGACTTACCTGTAACAAATTAAAAGACATTTTGAGCATAAAAATTGAAACAAATTAACCCTCTTGCTATGAGTAGGTCAAAGTTTGCATGTCACAACCTTTTATAGAGCTTCATTCAAAACTTAATTAAACTATTTTATTATAAAAACATACAAATAAACTTGGCATCAAAACATAGATAATAATTTCAAAAGGAAATATTTAAATAAATCTTCAATATCCTCTTGTATGGGAATCATGACACTTGTTTGCACCATCTTCCCATGCTATATATTTTTTCATCATCCCTCTTTTATGTCCCCAGTTTAATGTAAATTATTCATTACAGTACAGATATTTCTCTGACAAAGTCTAATCTTTATAGCCTTCAATCTTCTTTGTTTTGCAGACATAAACCAGAAAGTCAGGTCCACCTGTCACATTCTCTCCTTCACAAATTGCCAATAACTCTCTCTGAAATTTTCTATTACATCATTTATAATCAACAGAGAGACAAAGTTTTAATTTAATGAATGTTGTATAATGCTTCATTGTTTTTAGTATAGATTTTTAGTTATTTTGTTTTTACAAATTGAAAGTTGCTCTCACCAAGTTCAATTCGAGTGGCAGAGGGAATTATCTTAAATCACTTATGCCATAGTTAGAAAGACATTTAAATTATAATAGTTATAGGATATTGTTTGGTTTATGTGTGTTATTATTTTGTGTTTTTTCGTGCATCCTTCAAATAAATAAGAATTATTTAATGTACTAGTGACATCATTACAAAAAAGTAGGCTTAAATCTCATTGGCAGGCTAACAGCAAAAAAACAAGAGGCCAAATGTAAGTGCTACATTTCTTGTTTTTTTATGTGTTTTTCATTAGGTAAGGAGATGAATAATATCAATAATAAAAAGATTTCTCCACAAGGTATGTTTACAAGTAGCTCATGTTTTACATTATTCAATAACCTGAAATATGTGTTCGCTGAGAGGTTTACATCTTGTATCATGGGATCATTAGTTAAACACAGTTCAAAGGGCAATAAAACTAAGCAGAATGAGATGTAGACTATTATGAACTTTAAGCTATTTAGGATAAGCAAATGTAGTTTTGTGTTACAATCTGCAGTCATTCTAGGAAGAAGAAAAAAAAATGAGTAATTTGGATTTATTTCATATTTTTTATGGTGGTTACAAGGTTGACCGAATCTGTATAGAGCTAGGGCAGAGAAAATAACAGATGAAATAAAAAGTTTTACTGAAAAAACTTTGATGTTTATTTAGAAGCCTTTAGTTATTCAAATGAAATTTGGAAACTGTAAGATGAATAAAAGTATTTCTAATCTTAATAAGAAAATTATCTTGCACTTAGTACTCTTTCAGATTTGAGGTGCATGATCACATATGCACACAATAATGCTCATTAGTTTTGCTTTAGGTGCATTGATAATTACTCACATAAGTTTGTCATTATTGCTCCCGTTAAAAACTTTTTTAAAACCATGCACGCAACTTTACTTATTTAGCACACATGATGAGTGGTATTTTCATATTGCAATTAAGACAATTATTTACTACTGCAGCACTGACGATTCAAGACAACACGGGTGTTGTTGTTTAGCACACATTAATCGAAATTGGGGACTAAAGTCTATTTTTGTGAATTGCCATTCATGTAAAACAATGTTTGCAAATGGTACAAGCATACACTTGTCTATGTTTTTAAAGTGGGAATTGCCGAATACCATTGGTTACGAGACAAAAAATGAATGTGGAACCGAGTTGGTTGTGAAGGTAAATATTTTTACAAATCAATATATCGCTGATACATTGATATTATACTAGAAGATGACAAATTTTCATAAATTTTGCACGCTTTCAACATAATGTTTAAGTCGTGTAAAAGCAAATCGAAATTGGATTGATATTTGTGGCTGATTTGACTGGATTTAAATCATGCATTGTTTACTCATCATTCATTTATTTAGTCCAAGATCTTCCTCGACAAAGTTTTTGTCATTAATAACTTTACTCTAATTTCACATGTGATTTTGCCTACTTTTTCTGATGTTCAAAATGACAGTGGATAAACTCTTGTTAATTTCATGTCAAACAGTTTTATGGGACAATTTTTTTAGGTTTCAGTGCTATACTAAAAAGAGGCATAATAACTTCTTAGCTTAAATTAAATTGGGCAAGTGTGCAGCCTCTTCCTAAATTTCATGAATGTGCTGCCGTTGGTGGTGGAGTTCCCTATCTTATGCATCCTCATCCAACATCACTGATTATCTGCTAATATTTTTATTCACTTATAAAAGAAAAATACATTCAGTTAGGCCTGTTTTCGTCAAATGTTGATAATCAAGGGCGCATTTTAAGGGTGTTTGAGGAATTACTAAATACTGCATAACTTTTACAAAGATTACACATGTGTACACAGATTTTTGTTTACTATAGTTTACTATTTGTTTTATTCACTACATTATTTCACTGAGTGGTAAAAATCACTCGCTATACTATTTTCAGGCGAGTAAAAAAAAATTACTCACCCGCTATTTTCAAATATGAAAGACCGACTTAGACTAGTCAACACTCTGACTCCATTTATTCATGGACAAATCTTTGGGAAAAATACTTAATTAAAGAATCTAATTTTTTGTTTAAAAAATTCTTATAATGTTTGCTTAAAACTAATCAAATTTTGTGAAAATACATGTACCATATTTAAAGTTATAGTAGGTTAACTTTCATGGTTACTTGGTGGTTACAAGATCAGTCAAAGTGACTGAGCCCACATGGAAAGTTAAGCTATATCACCTTACCTTTCTAAGCATGTTGTTATTGTTCACAGGCCTTTTAGAAGTTGCTTTACTTATGTCATTTCTTAGACTCTCCATGCCTGTAGAAGACATTCCACTTTTAGTGTCACCACTAGAAAAGTGAGGTTTGAATTCAGATATGGCATCTTCATCCTGATTTAAGAGTTCCCGTAATATTACATTTTTTGATGAAGTATTGGAGCTTTCATCACCTGTAACTATAGACATTCCTTTCATTACTAAACCATTTTCTGACCCTATATTGTTACTGCTTTGGGAACTACCATCATCACCAAACATTTTTGAAAAGAAAGTTACTTCAGCAGAAGACTTTCTGTCCTCAACACCCTGAGTTAATACATTTCTGAGTTTTGGATGATTAGTTCTAGCTGGAGTGTGATGCTCTGAAAAAGTTATTAATGAAATGTCTCTGTTAACAGAGTTAACGTCTGAAATAACACACAATTCATCTTCCACCTTCTTCAGCTCTGATAACACAGGAGTTGCTCTTCCACTTGAAGGTGAACCCTGAAGAGAACTATATGTGTATGTACTAAGTGGAGTTACTCTGCCAACCCCAGCATTACTTGGTGAAGTCATCTGAGGGGCTGGAGAGTGGGCTACAGGTAAAATTTCTGTTGACAAGACATTGGTAGATAACTGGGCCTGCTGAACTGCACTCAAAGTCACCCTAACATTACTTTCACTACTGGCAGTAGTCACTGGGGAAGAACTTGGAACAGTATTGCTTGAGGACAATACTTCCCTGTCATTTCCTGATGATATTTCCCAGTTTGATGAAGAGAAAAGTTCAAAGCCAAAATCATCAAAGCTGATTTCATGAGAGGATGAAGGCAATGAGGTAAGGCTGGAATAAAGGGAGCTAGAAGAAGGCCCACTAACTACAGCACTCAAAGTGGTAGGAGAAGTATATACACCGGTGCCCATGCTACTGGATGGGGAAGAATTTCCACTGATAAAAGGAGTACCATTCCGTTGACTAACATTTGGAAAGTCAGGGTCTCTATTGAATAAATAAAACATATTTAACTTAAATCTATATTAAAATAAGCTTACAAGATGCTGATAAAAATGATAAACCATCTATTGACCCTTGAAGTTACAACTAAAAGCTTAAAAATTCTAGTATACTAACTAATTATAAAAAATAAAAATACCGATGCATTGTTAAAGTCAATAAACATTTATGCAATGCAAATAAGTAAAAAATGTCTAAATTATTTCATACTATATGGCTCAACATTCACAAGTGTATAACCATCTGGACTGTGCATAACCCTATGCACACTGAATAGTCAAAATGCACATATCATGACTATTTTACACGGTTACATTAAAAATTTAAACAACTTCATCAATGTACGTCAACAAGCTTGACAGCAAAATGTAGTTTATAATTCCAACTGTTATATCATTATTTAAGTTTCAAAAAGAAATATCTAAATAAATTCTCAATCTTCACTCCTCTGTGGCACATGATACATCTGTACTTCAAATTGCCAATTTTAGATTTTCTTTCTACCCTTACATGATTTCCAACTAATCAAAAGTAGATATTTAGCTCAGTTTCATTGTTCGCAATAGTGTTTTTCTGCTCTAAGTAACAAACAAAATTATTTGACCTATTTATAGTTTAGCTGAAAAGCCAATTAAATTATAGTAGTTTTGGAAAATTCTATTCTATAACCTAATATATAATTTTTTTGGTGTTAAAATGCATATTTGAAAGGAGCATTAATGATTTTGTGAAGAATCGACATAGTATAAAAAAAAAACTAGTGCTAAGTTTGTTCTCACGTACAAATTACTGAAATAGACTCTAATACAAGTCCAAAATTTTGTATATTTTTTAACAAAAGTAACTGAAATGTAAAAATTAGAATCTTATTAGATGATATAACTAAAACTAAATGAAAAAAAAGTAAATAAAATCTTAAGAGACATCTAACTGTATTATGATTTTAACTTGACGTAATGTTTAAGCTAAGTTTTCCCACTTTGGTTAACTTTCTGTCACGTACTTAGAAAGGCATTGCAAAGTAATAAAATTAAAATCAAGCATAGTGAAAAAGTTAGAAAGTACAGGTTGTTAGGATAAATATTTCCAAATGTTTGTTACAACCTGCAGTCATTCTAGGAAAAAAAAAAAAAAGAATATTTTTGATTTTATTTGATATTTTTGAACTTTTCATTTCAATGTATACAGATGTTTTTACTATAGTTAGTGTTAAAGTAGGGAAATTAATAAATGAAGTATAAAGTTTAGCCAAAAATACTTTTGATATTCATTTTGTAGGTTCTAAGACTTATGAAAATGAAATATGAAAACTTTAAGATGAAAAGAACTATTTCTACTCTTAACATGAAAATCACTTTTTACTCAGACTGACTTCATAAATTCACAGACAAATCTTTGGTAAATTTACTTTATTAAAAAACTTGATTTTTTGTAAACAACAATCATGTAATGTTTATTAAAAGTTTGGCAAATTTCGGAGAAATACACTTACTATGGTCGGTTACAGTATGTATAGTTTCATAGTGGTTAAAAGGTTGATCAAAATAACAAAGTCCATATACAAAGAGTTAAATGGTCTTGCAATGGTTGTTATTACCACCATTCTTTATGGTGTTATTAAGTGTACTACCATGCATCATAGTGGGCTACAAAATTTGTCACTCAATGTTTAGCACATATCCATAAATAAATAAATACACAACAAATGGGCTTGACCTAACACAGTACAGTTCAACAGAACATTTCGGTTACAGTTTGTATTTTATGCCAGATTAACATGCAAGCCTCATGGAAACTTATAAAACTTAATGCCAAATTTAAGTTCCATTAAATTGGCTTGATACACAAGTTCACAACTAAACTTAACTGAGCATGTAAAACTGGAAATATGGTGCATCCATGCACTAAAACAATCAAATAACTGAGAAACATACCAAAGATAACATGGATCATGTATAATAATATGAAAAATCTGTGACAACACTGATAAATTCATGAACAGAATTTATATAACACTTACTGTTTCAGCAAATTGTGCTTAGGTACACAAGATCTTTATGCATAATACATCCCTAATTTTGAACTTACAGAATAGAGTAAAAGCAGCTAGTCAATAGCACCCACCACCAACTCTTGGAATACTCTAATTGAACAGTGGAATTTCCCATTAATCTTATAATAATCCTATAGCCCAAAACTGCAGATCACATCGTTGCAGCAAAAACAATATGCACAATATGACCAGACTAACCATTAAATCACACACTGACCCCAACCAATAAGATTCCTGCACAAGGAACCAATACACAGGTTTACTGTCTTATGCTGGTTTTTATGGAAATGATCAGAGAGTAACTGAGTAACTCAACATTTTAGTTAATGTTTCCTTCTCTGTCTGCTATGATAGTCATCACAACTTGAGGACATGTACAATAATTTGTGAGCAGACACAAAAATTTAGAACTATTTGTACAATCTCACGTATAATGTACACAAGTTTCTATCCTCCACACGAAGGTTAACTAAAAATAATTCTACCTTCAAAGTTGTGGTCATGAAGGTCATTACTGTTTCTGTTATCTAAGTATGGATGCGACTGAGGTTTCTACCTGCTCGAAAATAAAACTTGTTATTTTTAGATATGATAGTAATTATCCCTTTCCCAAACAACAGGAGAGAAAACATGTTAAGTATTCACTGAAATATCAGTGAACCATCATTTGTAACAATGCAAAGGCAAAAAAAGCCTATGTAGTTACTCTTTGTTTCAAAACATCACACACACACATTATATATATATACACACACACACACACACTAATTTTGCTTATTGATGAAGCATCTAAATATTTTAATTTCCTGGCTCTACACTGTACCAAAAAAAATGTATATATATTTCATAAAGTAACACAAACATAGTATTATTTCACAGCAATACAAGTTGTGCTCTTCAAACATGTATTGTACAATATTTTTGATGCTCTAAACCCACAAGTTACGTGTTTTCAAACACCACCAATAATAAGCAGTTTTCAATACAAAATTATGTTTATCTAAATACATAGTGTTGTGAAGTCACATGTGTATATAGATTGTATAAAATTCAACACAAAGATCGTGCATCAGCCAACACATTTGTGTTCTGTTTTGTTAGCCCACAATGATTGTTTCTAAACCGAACTTTTGTTGTAGCCATTCAAATATCAGGATGTGTTGTTTTATCACAAGTTTTTTTTTTTTTTTACAATGTAGCTTATAACAAACTTTTTTTTGCCTTAATGTACAATTGGTTTTATTATTTTTTCCTGTAACAAGACATGAACCATGGACATAGATCCACAGTCTGACATGCTAACCACTAGGCCACATCTGGCCAGAATTAGTAACAAAGGAAATCAAATAGTTTATTCACAAATGTATATATCTTGTTTAAATACACAACAGACACATGATCTAACTTTATTAGTATAAAGAAACAGGAAAAGTATGTTACAAGAAAGTCAATACAAAAAAGCCGACGTACAGGGATGAACAAAATAAGTTTTAGAAAAACTTACATTTTCTACTGTAGATAATAAGAATTTGTTTTATTTACCTAAATGCAAAGTTTGTATCTAAACTTGTTCTCTTCTTCTTAATAAGGTATACTTTCAAATATTAACATTTTTAACCAAAATGCAAATCAGATATTTATATTACAAAGCAAAATTTTAATTGCACAAAAATATTACTTTTCACACACTAATGACTAAAATCTACTGAACTTGACAAATACAGAGATAACAGTGTACACATATTTTGCAATAGAATTTATTCAACCAGAACCAAATTTTTATCACATTTTCAACCTCTCACACAAAATATTTTTTTGATGGAACACAATACTGATACACATATCAAAAAAAGATTAAAATCAGTTACATTTGAGAAAAGCATATTCTTACAACAAAATATTATTTTATGCAATAAAAACTAGCTATATTTATATATATAAATATATATTTATTAACCATTTTATACCTAATAATTGAATGTGTTGCCATAACAAATTCCTGTTCATTCGTCAAAGGATTGCAGGCAACTCGTTTACTTCTTGTTTGGACGTGGATGTACTTTTCTGGAGCAACTCTTAATCGATAAATGCCACTGGTGTTGCTGCCAACCTGAAGGGCTATAATCAAATATGTATATATAAATAAATTTCTAATAGGCAATAAATAAACAAATATCTATCTATATGTAAAAACTCATTTTAACATTTCAGACTTCTTGGCTTGTTACTTTACATAAAAAAATCAATATGCATGACTAACCTCAGAAAACTTCAATGATTAATAAAATCAATGGATACTAACATTCATCACCTTTGGCAACACAGCAGTCAAGAAGTTTCATAAAACTTTACTTAAAAGATTTTTTTAACATTATATGTACTGTCCATGATAAAACATGTAAATTAATATTTTGAAAATTTTTTGTGTTCAAAAAACATGATAGTATTCAGTGTTGCTTCTAGGATTTTTCTCAAGTGGGCCAAATCCCCCACTGACTTCCAGAAGGTGAGCTATCCATGTAATGAAGTAGATATCAACTTGGCACCTTGCACCAGTATCAATCAAAATAACATAAATATGCAAAGTACGCATCCTAGAAACAACGCTGACATTGGTTTAACCCTTTCCAGATTATTAGGGTATCATTGATATCATCTTTTATTTTTGAACATTTTTCCCACTGAAAAATACATAATAAAATTGCACGTAACTTTGAACAAACCTCCTAAATTAATGGTGTTCAGTATTTGTATAACTTTTCAAAGTTGTAAAATTTCCTAAATTTTGTTGTGAAACACTGCTTTCCAAAACATTTCCTTTCTTGTTCCTTTTTTTTTTCTTTCAAAATTTTCAATTCTATATATCCTATCGGTTCTAACTTGTTTGATAATGATTACTGTATTTCTTTTGATAAATCATATAAACACATTTGACTGAGAACAGTTTACTTGTGAACTATAACATCAGCTGTCAAATTGGCATTACCATTACCTCTGAAAAGGTTTCATAGTGTGATATTTTGCTAATAATATTTTTGGTCAAATCAATTTATATCTAATTGTAATAGTTTGTTTCCAATAAAAACAAGTTCTTTTTTGTTTTATCTTTTATATTACTTGAATACCACAAAACTTAACAATACATTCAATAAAAATATCTGTGTCATCCAAATAGTTTGCTGGTGCAGGTCTCAGCTTTAACATACTTGCTACTCCTAATATCCTTACATGATGGACATTTATTTCAGAGAATCATAATATAATGCAAAAACGTTACTAGGAATGACTGGGATACCATCAGAAACCATACAATTATTTGGTAGGTATTTCAAACTTTTTCTTGAGGTTGCTTTTTTACAACTTACTGCACTAAAATTGAGCATTTTTCAAAGGCACAACTAATTTTTACATTGGATTATTGTATTCTCACCTACAGAAAGTTAAATCTCAGAATCTCTCCTTTCTAAGGGTTAATTAGCTTTAGGCTGTAGCCCTTGTGAAAGTTGAGAATCACTTTCTGACAGTTATCAGATTTTAAGGCTGTATCCCTTTTCAAAGCTGAGAACCAATCAAAGTTTGCAAGACCTTCCAGGGCAGTACTATAAACAAAGAGTTCAACCAATAAATTCACAACCAAATAAACAGATGTAAATAAAATGAATGCTGAAATAACCGAGAACACTGTAATTTCATTGGGAGAAATAAACATAAGCTTACGAACCAGCAAAAATAAAAGTTAAAAAATTTTGAAGTGCAATGTTTTTTGGATCAGGCACCTATAAATGCAAATGAAATGAAAGTTTGGACATTTTTTGGCATTTTTATAGACAAAATGGAATAAGTATTATATAAAAATAAAATATTAATTCTACAATAAGTTTGAGTAAGAAACTATTAAAATACAAATTGAATTATGCAGTTATGCAAAAACTTTAAAGCTGCAATATTTTTGGACCAAACATCTCGCGATACAAAGGAACTTAAAGTTTGAACACTTCTTTTGCATTTTAACTGACAAAATGAAATAACTATTATATAATGATAAAATATCAATTCTACAATAATTTTGAACAATAAATTGTTGAAATACAAATAGTTACAGAGTTATTTAATAACTTCTACCAGAGAAACTGCTAAGATTGTACAATAATAATTACAATTAATAATAAATGGCCTTATTTATGAGATCAGAAAATTACAAAGATCTTCTATGACCACTATGTGATCAGTTGCATACCCTCACTGCCAACAGTGTTTTCAGCCCTTGATACCAATATTGTTCTAAAGAGTAAGACATTAGAAATCAAACTATGTTCTAAAGAAACAATTTTTGTCCCACCCTGTATATTTCAATTAAATTTTAAGTGACCTGAATACCTACCAGACAATAAAAAAGATAAAGATAAAATATTCTTATAATGGGCATGTTTACAACTCGTATAATGAAATACTCGATAGCCTAGTAATACTAGATTTCATGATAAATTAAACTAATAATCAATATTTAAACTTACTTTCTTTAAGATGCTGGTTCAGTTTATGAAGATCTTTAGGGTCACACAGTCCTTGGATAATTCTTTCTACTAGATCTTTATTAAGATACTGACTGTATGTTGAAGACACTCCACTAAAAACAGTAAAATTACATTACCAACATTAGGTATGTAGATACATCAAAAATTTTTGTTATAAGACTTTAATTTATTTTTCAAATATACATTTTGTTTAGAAGATATCATTACAATTATAAATCAAATCTAGTTAACTACTGCATTACCTGTTGTAAGTATTCTTTGTTCCAACATGTCTTTCATTTAATTGTAACAGTTTTAATATAACAGAAAACAATTATGTCTTTAAATGTTTCTACTGTAAATAACCACTATCCTTACTGTACCACAGTCAATGTACAAATAATTCGTTATATTTTTGTATTTTTACTTTTTGAACACCTTATTATTAGCTTTATTCAGAAAATTTACAAGACTTAAGAATTAGCAAACAGAAAAAAAATTAAATTACATTTTTTATTATCCAAGTCAACTAAACCACAAAAAATCTTTCCCATAAAAATTCAATAGTTTTTATAATGTTGTATGTGAACTTCTTAAAAGTTCTATCAATTAATAGTACGACTATTTTCTCAGCACCAAATAATTTATAAATAACAGCTTTACAGAACTATAAACAAAACATCTCGGATGTTAACATTTCCTTACACTGAAAATGTATTTCTGATAGGTACTTGCCTCTCCTCACCCAAAGCTATCTTGATCTGGGTTTGTCCTTTAAGCATTGCTAAAAACTTTTTGCTATCAGAGCACCAGTCTTTTATACCCCTTTTCGTACCATTTCAAAACATGTGCTGATTATGTGGCTACCCTTCACCAATCATACTGCAACATCTATACTACTGCAACTAGCTTCCTCTATTATTCTGGCACAATACTCCCTTTGAAAATTTCCAAGTACAAACTAGAAACACTGGCATATCAGCAGATATGACGGATGGGATGTGGGTGAGAATAGGTAAGTACCTATCAAAAATACATTTTCAATGTAAGAAAATGTTAACTTCCGAAACAGTACTACCTCTTCTCACCCAAGCTAGAATACCACAATTGAAATGTGGAGGGGCCAGTGAAGGTGCAACAGTATTCAATCAAGCAGAGAGCACCTGCCTTGAAAACAAGAAAGACAGCACACCTCTGGGGAATAGCACTACTTCTGAAAAAGGTATGCTCTTCACCCAGTAACAAACACGGTAATACATATATAGGGCAGAATGTAATAAGCAGACACCATAGCCTCAAGAAAGAGATATAGAGCACCATTCCTATAACTATGAGATGAAACAGCATAGCATTGACAAAAACTGAACGTCTAGTGTGCATAATTGACAACAGATCCAAATAGATGTGTGCCAATGGTAGAGTCTTGGGGTAAACCAGAGCATGTCAATTGCTGTCCAACTGGGCAAAACATCCAGTGGAAATGTCTTGTCTAGAGTATTGTGAGCAACAAGATTGATCCTCCCCATCAAAATAAATACTAGGAGAAGTGCCTTGAATAAGTAGTTTCAAGAGAAATTGTCAGGTAATTCAGAATCAGCATATTGTCAACAGATTGTGTATAACTCGTTCACATATGTAGCAAGCAGTAGCATGGGTCATGAGTGATAGTTAGTCACAGTAAGGTGCCTGATACTGGGATATAAGTATAGTGGCTGGGGCTAAAGGACCATAAATTCTATATGAATAGGCCAAGTGTGGTCCATTTGGACAAAAACATCCAGTGGAAGCACCTTGCATAAATTTGTAAGATCAACAAGTGCGGTCTGCCTGGACAAAAAACATCCAGGGGAAGCACCTTGGGATACGTCAAATTTTGTCAAGTGTGATGCATCTGGGCAGTGAACGTCAAGTGGAAGTGCCTCACATAAAATACAGAGATCAACAAGTGTGGTCCACACAAGCAAAAATATCCAGGGGAAACACCTCATATAAGAAATAGATTTTTTGATCAACAAGGGCTGTTAGCTCGGACAAAAACGTTCAGGGGAAGTGTCTTGGATCCAGAATATTATATTGTTGCATAATCAATAAGTATAACAACAATAGTCCTCTTCTCATGAGTGGGTACATATGAGCTAGGAAGTTTGATTTAATTTACTGTCCAAACCCCATTCCAGAGGAAAACTCCATGGTCCACCAATCCAGCAAATGGGAACCAGAAGTGGCAAGGACTCCAGTGCTTCCCTAGAAGAGGGGGGAGATATGCATTGGGGAGTCCGGAGGAATTACAGACTGGAGACAGTGCAATGGATGTCTGCAATTCCCTCTTATGAAAAGTAGAAAAAACCAATTGTAGGGATCACAGGTCAATAGAGATGGGCAAAAATCCCAATCTGCTTTACTCGTTAAGTTCATGAGTGACAGTCCTGTATGTATGAAAAAGTGACAGAAAAATATAGACATGAACACGCACCATCAAATAAGTAGCCAGTGGTTTTACAGAAACACCCTATCTCAACAGTGAGCATTACAGAAGCATAAAGATTTAGTGCTAATAGAATAATAAGCATACCTGACCAGGCAACACCCATCATCAGGTGGGATCCTGATATATGACATTTATCAATGAATTAAGATAAAAAATAATAATAATATGTTAACTTACTCAAGTCAAGAGTGAACAGATATGTGTAGAAACGACACACACCCGCCTAAGGAAGACACAGCTAGTTTGTGCAGATGTGTGAAAAATATATTGGAAGTTGTCTACATACTAGCCTGAATGATCTCCTCCAAAGAATGGCAGTTTCGAGGAGGTAGAGACATACTTAGATGACGAAATTAGGGTGAAGAAACATTATGCCAACCTTCCATAGACATGTCAGAATACACCAGTTGTACGAGTTGACATACTCAACCAGTGAGCACAATAGGTGATAAATCACGGGAAACAGAGGAATTCCATGGATCAACTAGACAGGAATGAGAACCATGAAAAAAAGTAGTACGAGTCATATAACATAGCAGAGAACTGAATAAAGTAGTTGATCCGGATCCAAACAGGAGTACAAATGGGAAGTGGAAGTCAACGGAATAGGATGTTGTTTAGTTAAACAACCTTCCCGAACAACCGATGTCCTAGAAAGGAAGGCTTGATCCAGATAGAGGTTAACATACGACAAGTGGTAAAGGATTCAAGAAACATTAACCCTATCGGCGCGGGTGCATTTTACTGCGCACAACATAGTTTTAGTGTCTTACATTCAAAATTTTATTAAACTACTTTTTGTTTATGTTATATCAATTAGAATAGCATAAAATCTTAGCTAATAATCCATATTTTAATAGTATACAAGTTTTACGTTCTTAATTCTACAAGGAAATATATTAAAAAATCCTGAATTACCACTACTGCGACACACGCGACACATTTTGTCTTAGCATGTCATCATCCCTATTTTATTCATCACCCCTCAAAAATGTACAAAATTAAATGTAAAATACTCTCTATAAAATCATTATTGCTCAAACAGACCATAATTTTTATAGCCTTCAATTACAGAGCTATCGAATAGAAAATCAGCCCCCTCCTGCTACACCCACTTGTCACATTCTCTCTTTCACAATTCGTTGATAATTCTCTTGTACGTTTCATTATATATTACCTATAACCAATAGAAAGTCAAGGTTTTCAGCTATCAAATGGGGTATTGTATAACATTGTGTTCTGGACAGATAACCGTCAATTTCACTCAGAGTAGCAACATCGTTCCCATGGGAAAGTTAATGACTAGCTTGGATGAATTTATAACAGCTTTTGTCACATAGTTATAAAACCAGGAAAATTTTTAGAAGTAGGTCAATTTGTCTACTTTCTGCACATTATTAGTCTATATTCTTTGGTGTATTACTTAATTAAATAGAAAATTGTTAAGTGCTTTACTATAATCACTAAAAAAAAAAATCAGGCT